AAAGATACTATGTAAAAAGAACTAATTAGGAAAAAAGTCAGAACAGGCCAGATGCTGTGACTTGCAGGAAGAAAGAGGAAAGTCCAGCCTCTCACTGGACTCTGCCACCAATGGCTGAGAGGGCAGAGCGCAGCCTGGGAAAGGTGGTTTCAGTACAGCCAGTCTCTCTTCTCTCCAAGTCTGAGGCTCAGTGATTGTGATTTGTTGCTTTTGTTAAGTTGGAGCATGAAGATATCCTGAGAATTGTTCGGAGTTGTGACATAAGACAGAGGGACACCTAGGTGCAGTCTGTGCCTCTGCTTTAGCTGAAAGGAGCACAGGAAAATCCTTCTTTATCTATAAAACAAGGATTAAAAACAAACAAGCAAAACAACAAGTCCACAGAATGCATCAGAGCACTGCATGGACCCCTCCCACAAAGAGGGGCGGTGGGCTTGGCGGTGGGCTTTCAAAGAGCAAAACTGGTATCTTTTCAGCTTTGCTTTCCTAGGTCCTGCCAGGATCCTCCTGAGAAACTCAGTGACTATTTCCTGAATACTCCAATGAATGATTTTAAGTCTGGTGAGAAGGGTGGCAGAAAAGTTTCGGGAATAACCTAATTCTACCACTAAGGAACCATCCCCCAGGCCTTCTGCCTGGAAAAGGGTTTTGTTTTGTTTTTAAAGAAACACTCCCACTTTTCTATGCGGAGGAACAGGGTTTAACCTGGTCTGGGCAGGTAGGTGTCTCTGAGTCAGTACAGGGAAAACTGAGTGAGGTATGGGGTGTGTGGGGGGTGGCTTGTGGTGGGATTGGGGGTGGGAGTGGGATCGAGGGCTCAGCCTTACAGCTGAGTCCCAGACTGGGACCTTTCTCAGTCTGCGGGGAGAGGTCATTGAGGGGAAAGGAGAGATGGGTGGAAGGAAGAGCTGGATTTCATAGTCACATTAGCCCCCTCCAAGTTTTCCGGATATTACATCTATGTCATACAAATTATCAGAGCACTGCAGAATGAAATTTCCCTTTTAAAGAGAGCACTCTAAATGTCTTAAAAAGAGAGCAGCTTTCTCTTTCAGAAGCTACCTATTTGAAATGGATGTGGGATGAGCTGTCAAGGTCAGGGCCATGAAGCTGGAACATTTTCTCCATGTTCTTAAGTTGCCCCAGGGCAGCTGGTCACCCAGGGGCTGGCTCCTTGAGCCTTGTCTCTGGGCACAGGTGGGAAGTGAAGTGGGCCCATGGCATTTGGAAAGATCCTCCCACAATCTCATCAGCACCTAATGCATAAAGGATGAGCCATTGCACTGTCTTAATCACTTTCTTGTCACTGAGACACAATAACCGACTCCTACAACATAAGGAGGAGAGGTTTATTTTGACTTCTGTTTGTAGCCCACAGTCAGCAGGCTCCTGAAGCAGCAATATCATGGCAGAGGGCTTGGTGGACAAAATGCTGCTCAGCTTGGGCACTCGGGAGGCAGAGTGAAGGGAGGAGCTGGAGAGGGAGATATATGCTTCCAGGTTCCACTCTCAGTGACTGGCCTTTTCTGACCAGGCCACACGTCCCAGTAGCATACTCAACCCTAAAACTAGCAGATGGATGAGGCTATGGATTAGTTCATCCACCTTCCAAACACCTGAGGCTTTGGAAGGACACTTGGGAGCCAAATAATGAATGTGTGCAGAGTGGCTCAGAAATATCTGAGTTTACCACTTGGAGACAAAGACAAAGTATGTAGACTGATTTGTGGAGTTCGACTTTGAAGGACAGGGTTGGATGCAACCAGCCTGAGCAGCTTAGAAACGCCACTCTAGGGCTACCTGGGTCCCCCAGAGAATGGAAGTGTCATGTATTCCATCTCAGAGAATCACACTGGCCCAGTCTGCCCTTCCATCATTGTCCCCCTGTGTGAGGATGAAGACCAAACCCTGCCCTGAGGCTCTGAGCAGACGTGGCTGAGTTCATCCCTTCCTTCCTTTTCTCCCCAGGGCCTCAGCAGCCTTGGTCTTTTCTTTTCTTTTTTCTTTCTTTCTTTTTTTTTTTTGCACTGGGAATCAAGCTCAGGACCTTGCACTTGTGAGGCAGGCAGCAGCCTGACTGAGCTGAATCCCTGGCCCAGCCCTGGCCTTTTCTACACACACTGATCCTTTTGTTCAGGATCGTATACCCAGGCCACCATGCCTGGGAAGCTCATTCTTCCCTTTATTTCAAGTTCCCAACACAGGGACAAATCAGTCCCTACCCTCTGTCTTACAGTCATTGAGCTTGGTCCCGTTTATTCCCTTTGTATTCTCCTTCAAACTGTACTTTCTTTATTTGTGTGTTTTTCTCTCCCTGCCCTCCACTAGACAGTAAATTCCTTGAAGGCAACTGATCTTTGTTAGGGTTTGAATGTTAGTGTCCCCAGAATCATCTGTTAGAACCTAACCTGTGAGGTGATGGCATTACCTCTGGGGAGGTAAATAGGTCATGTACAGGGGAGGCCTTGTGGATAGGACTGGTACCCTCATAAAAGAGCCGGGGGAAGGCTGTCTGCCCCATGAGGACATGTAGAAGTTACCATCTATGAGGAACCAGCCTTTACTAGACAATGGATCTGTTGGTGCCTTGGCTTTGAACTTCTCAGCCTTCAGAACCATAGGCAATAACTTTCTGTTGTTTATACATTACCTGGTCTTAGGTATTTTGTTAGAGCAGTCACATTGGACTACGAATGTCTTGATTACCACTGAATCCACAGTGTCTATTTCTGCTTCTGGAGCAGGGAAGGTGCTCAATAAACATTTGTGAAATGGTGGTATGTGCCAGGAAGCTATAGCAACAAAAAGTCTCAGGGCCTTCAGGCATTATACAGAATCATTTGTTTCTTTTTTCTTTCTTGTTTTCTTTTTTTGGTAATGGAGATAGACAGAACTCAAAGCCTTATGAGATCTAGCCCCAGCCCAGCTATATTTTCTGATGCATAGTTTTCAAACTACCACAGTGAAGTGGTTGTAAGAATGCCTAGCAAAGCTCCACAGAGCCCAGAGAGAATGGTTGGGTTGGTTGGATACTGGACTGATGTCCATGTTGCGAGGATCTCCAGAGAGGGGCATATGGGTGCAGAGAATTCTAGTCTGGCGCTTCACATGAAGCGGGGGGGCTCTGCCAGTGCAGTGACCGAGTGGGAATGACCCTGGCAGCCGGAGCAGCAGCTCCCATCCATCAGGGTGCAGTCAGCTCAGCAAACACTCATCCCTCCTTCCCAGCTGTCTCATGGACCAGGGCCAGCAGATTCCCCATGGGAAGGGAGCAGATGGTGGGCAAATTCCTAAACAGCCTGGCTTGCTCACTTCCTCAGGTAATGGCACAGTTAGACAAGAAACCATCGTTGCCTTGAATGTTCAGGTCACACAGGGCTGGCTGCAGCCTCTTGCATGGGTGTGTTTATTTAAGAGCTGATTTGGAATGTGAGTGGCATCCAGTGTGTTTACACAGAAGGACTCTACATGCATGTGCATATCAAGTATTCTTGCTAGCAACTGCATCCCACTCAGCCCTGTCTCTCCACTTATGCTTTTGCCACTCTGTAGAAGAACAGGCTCAAAGTGCCCTTGAAGACACCTGAATTTGCAATCAATTCTCCTCTGGGATTTAAGATGTGTGTCTCCAGCACAGGAGCCAAGGTTATTTGAATAGTACCTTCCGAGTAAAAGTAAATAGTCCTTAGAGACAAATCAGTAACATTTCTATTTGCAAAGTGCCTTCCTGGACATTTATTTTCTATACATATGCCAATATGCCTTACTGCTAGCATCTAATAGAGTCTGAAGAGGCATATTTTGTGTATACATCAGTGCTGGTCTTCTGACTGGCACAATCAGAGCATGTCTGGGCCAGGGTGAGCTTTCTAAGGATAACCATCCACACTTTGCTTGTTATTAGATGGGTGTGTCTAGTCCTCCTTCCTCAGACTGCAATCCAGACTTGACTGGCAAATGTGACCACCTGACCTTCTGTGTCTCCATTCTAGCATTCTGACTCTGAACTCCCAGACAAGGGATGTGCCCACAGGGAAGCTGCCAGCCATTCCCAGAACTTCCTGGCCCACTTGCTTGTCTTTGATCTCCACCAGAAGACTCAGGGTGACCAGGCACTCTTGTCCACTGTTGAGGCTGAGGCGCTGTGCCAGTGATTGGCCCTGGTGACCTGTGCTGATTTGCTTCTGTCTGGATAGCATGGTGACACATGCTTGTGCTGCACCAGACATGGGGAAAGCCCACACACCCTGCAGGGCCGAAATGCCACCCCCAACTTACAATATTGTTTCTCATGCTGAATCAAAGCCCCTGGAGAGCTGCTTTCTCATTCCAGGTGCTGTAAATGAGGGATCTCCAGTTGACAGACTTGTGTCTGAGCTCTGAGACACTGCCAGCAGGCAGCCTCAGCAGAAGCGCTGTCCACTGTCAGTCCTCTGTCATTTTCAACAGAAGCCTCTGTCCTCATTTTAGGAGTCCTGAAATTTTTGGCAATATCAGCTGTCACAGCTTCCTGTGCTCTTTCCCCTTGGTTTGGTTGTAGTATCATTTTTATGCCATGAATATAGACTGTTAGAGTGGGGCTCCCTATAGAGGATATTTTCAAAGTTACCCAAAAGATGTGGATATTTTTAAATGGCTTATCACTTAGGGGATATGGATCTGAGTATGTAACATAAAAGAACAGATAAAAGTTACCTGGAGTAGAATGAATGGTCCAATGTGCCAAACCACGTGGGCTGCTTTCATTGTCTGCCTTGGCGGCCATCTTGAACTGTGCTTGTTCTGTGGAGGATGTGCCCTAACACCTGTGGCAGCTGTCTCTCTCCAGGCCTGTCCTTTCCTCCTGTCCACACACCCACCTCAATGTCAGACTAGATGTTGATATCGCATTTTTGGATTAACAAAAGTGAGGAGGGCAAGTTTGCTCAGACTGGCAGTGCATCCGAACAGGAAACCTGTGGCCACTTATTTTACACAAGAAAGAATTCTGTAGAGTCAGGTCTATTTTATTAGGTGAATTTTTGTCAATGTAATGGTTATAATAAAGATTGACAAATCCTGTGCAAGGAGGAAGATTTGACACAGCAGTTTAAGGAGATGTTGTTAGCAAAAAACAAGCCCCATAGAATAAGTGGATTCTTCTGGAAAGCAATTCTTCCACGTCTAACTTCTTTTCACAGCTCATCAGTTCTCTTGGAACCAAGAAAAGGTGTTTCCCAAAATATACTGCAGACATGTACTAATCGAAATAAAATTTTGAAAAAGTAAAATGTGTTTTGTGACTGTCCTGCCATGGGAGAACATTGCTGGTGGGGAGGGGGAGATCCATGGCTTCACAGCACTGCACACACACCTGTGGCTGCCGCAGGGAGAAAAGGGACTCTCCTTATCCCTGTGGCCTGAGCCACGTGAATGTGTCTGCAGGATGGCCCTGCCACGTTTGCCTGGGAGGTGGTTGGCATCAAGGCTCTGCCTCTTATCTGCTGCCTTAAACTAACCAGGGAACCTCTCTGAACCCTTACAGCCATATTAGTAACAAGGATTACTGAGGTCCTCTGCAATATTCTGAGAATCAAGTATAAGCCTCGCCACTGCTCCGCTCAGTCAAGGGTACATGTACCAAGACCTTTCTGGGACATAGTCTTAGAAGACAATGGGCAACTTCTGATTTTTTTGGCAATTTTTATAGAAGCAACTTAAGTTTCTGTGTGTGAGACCTTACACAAGATGTAAGTTTGAGGCAAGTTAGAAGGCAGGCCATGGGTAAGGACTGTGAGAGAGGAGGCCCACAGACAGACAGGGCTTCTTCTCCATCAAGGTCAACTGCCGGACTGGAGCCAAGGCTTCATAAGCTTCCCTGACTGTGCAGGAGGCAGGCAGCAGCAGCATCTTAAGGGGGAAGGGTGGGTAAAGCATTTTGTACCCTGGCTTGGGAGCAGGATAATAGTGTCAATGTGGTGAAAGAGGAGAAAACCAGTGGGAGCTTATCTGCTTCTGAACTGCCTTGGACTTGTTTCTTATAGATGTCTCCAGAGAGGAAGGACATGGGAACTGAAGCAGAAATTCCACTCCTTAGATGTTCAGTGTCTAAAGCTATCACTTTGGGTTTCTGGAGATGCTGAGGTCTGAGGGAATCACCAGTGACACTATCTTAAAGCCTGGCTCAGCTCCCTATTTCCTATCAGTAGAGATGTGAGCTCAGAGCCAGGCAAGAAGGGCCATGAGCTACAAGTGGCTTGCATGAAGAGCAGTAATTTGGAAGTGATCCACTGAAATGCTGGTCAGCATCAGACCTTGTATTTAATAAGTCTATGTTTACGTAATAATGTCCAGAAAATGATATGAAGAAAATTCAGACTTTAGTTACTTGGGATATGAAGCAGTCTTCTTACATTTAAGTTTCTATGATGGAAACCAGAAGGAGCACATTGGGATTAGTATTTCACCAATTCCAGTGTACACTATCTCTGGGCTACCAGGGAGCTTTGGCATAGGGTCATATTGATCCCCTTGTCTTTGACAGCTTTTAGAGTCATGCAGAGGTGGGACTTGGCTCTGGCTCATGAAGCCCACTGACAAAGTAGTAGAGACTTGGGATAAACTCATTTGGCCAGTTGGGGATATTCCAGAACTATAAATGGAGGCAGATATGAAACAGGAGCCAGGTCACTGTCCAGCCATGAGGCCAGTTTCCTCTGTGGCTGCCCATCCTTGTCGGGCCACAGCAGTATGGGCCGGATTCTGAGGGCACTGACCAATTCTGCATAAGAATCTTCACAGCCAACAGGCATCTGACTCAGGGATCTGGGAAGAGCTCTGTGTGTAAGGCTGGGATCTGGGGAGCAGGGGGAGCTCCAGCCCCACTGGGGAGTTCCAGTTGTAGCCCTTCCCTTCACTAGGCTTCCAGCCTCGGTGATGGGCCCCTCCCCTAGACTCCTACTGCATGCAGCTCATCCACTGGGGTGCAGTGAGCTGGCTGTTTCTGTTTCTTATGATGGGACTGCAGCCCGACCTACTCCACCAAAGAAGGGAACCAGCAACCACCATCCAGCACCTTGCCCTTGAGAGGACGACACTTGCTTGCCCACCACTGTCTTAGCCCACCTCTCAAAATCCAGCAGAGATGCCAAGAACGAGGACCACTGAGTATGAGCAGCCCACAAGGTGGGGTTCCTAATCTATACCACTTTCTTCTTACCAGCCCTAGAACCTAGAAACCCAGACTGAGGGGAGCTGGGCCTGAGGTCTGAAAGTAGCTCCCTTGTTCTGCCTTTACCCGTGTTTCAGTGTGGTTTCCAGGGAAAGCGCTTCATATTCACAGGCCAGTTGGGGGCCTGGGACACTGTGCTGGGCTACTGCAGAATTCCCCACCTGGAAACAAGTGGACCCTGTTGTCAAATTTGGGCAAGCTAACCATAAACCTGTCTTTCTCAACACATGCTTCATTGACCTGACAGTCTGCACCATCCATATTCCAGAATGGAAAAGTCTCTGAAGCTGTCCTTTGTAAGGCTCCTCTCTACTCCTTTTCTCTTAATATTCACTCCCTTCTCCAATGCTTCCACCTGCTTCCTCAGTCTCCTGTTTCCATAGTGGGAAGAGATGGCCCTAACCATATCTTCCCTGGCCCCGGCTCCAAAATCTCAGCACCAGTTTGAGAGTTTGGGGCTTGATGAGGAGGCTGCGTTTACAGTCACCTGCCACTCCTACTTCACATCCTATTCCTCACCTTGAAGGCCAAGGTGTGTCGGGCCCTGAGTTCACAGTGTCAGGGTAACAAATGGGGTAGATGCTTATTTCACAATTTTTGTTGCTTTTCTTTCACTATGCTTCCCTTTCCTCTCTGCCTCTCTCAATACCAGCTGGTTCTTCTGGCCCTCTGAAGCCCAGCTTCATCCCAGGATCACATCACAAGCTTTCTGAGATTGTGAAAGAAAACTACGGTGATGATTAGAAGTACTTTGAGGTTCTTGGGCCAAAAAGGCATACAAGAACCTAGCTGCTGAGGTTCTTCCTTGGTGAAAAGTGAAGGGCACAGTGTGAATGGGAGTGGTTGTGATGGCCACCATGAAAGTCCTCGAGAGGTGCTCAGTGGTCCAGGTTCACACTAATGAGGCCAATTGTCTACTAGGTCACAGTGGACACACAGAACACAGTAGAGGAAAAACACACACACTTGGCAGATAATATGAGATGAACAATGCTCTTGGCCCCAGATTTAAAAGGGAGAGAGTGCAGACATGACTCGGATACCTAACCCACCAAGGTGCTGTGAGCTCATCTTCATACCCAGGTCTGTCTGAACACCCTTCAGGCAGAGCTTCTCTCCATTGAATTCACAATGCCCTCAGGATAGGAGGAGTGAGGGGCTGGGCTGAGGGCCCTCTCTAGGTGTCTATCCTGAAGAGGGCTGTGAAACCCAGGGAAGTCAGTGGGCAGAAGAGAATAAAGATAGATGAGATCCTCTGACTTTCACTGTGGGAAAATTCCATCATGGCCTGTCCCTGAGCCAGTGCTGGGAGAGGAGGCAGCACTGCCCAGGGCCCAGATGGGAGGCCACTTGCTTGGGGAAGCCATAAATTGTGAGGTGTGAGGGCTAGATATGTGGTTCCTTCCCACGAGGCCCTGACAGTTCCTGAGCCTTCAAACACACCCGCATCTAATTCCCCTACCCCTTTCTGGGCTCTGCAGTACCTGTGTTCATAGCAGCCAGTGAAGGAGGCTGCAGAGAGCATACAGCCCTCACACTGAGCCTCTGGTCTTCCAGGACCCATTCAACTCATCAGGCTCATCTTCTTCATCCTGCTCAACCTCCACATCCTGCCCTGTCTCAGCACAGCTCCCAAGCAAGGGAGGGCTGGGCGGGTACTGGAGGAGCTGGCCTTCCCGCTTCATTTCTGCCAGCTCCTTGGCACAACAGCTGGGTGTGTTGGTCTCGTAGGTATCATGGAAGGTATTGTAGTCCACTTCATAGAAGCCCTTTTCCAAGGTGAGGACTGGAGTAAATCGGTGGCCCCAGAGGACCTCTGTATCCATGTAAGAGCTTCGTGCTTGGCAAGTCATGCCTAGGGAAACAAACCACATGCATTAAGGTGCAACCATCCATCCATTCATGCAGGCATCCATCCATGAATCCATCCATCCATCCATGTACCCTATATTCCTTGAACATCTACCTTGTGTTAAGCATCACAAGTGTAAAGCTGAATACAACATCATATTTTACTCGGAGGAGCTCAAATATGATGTGGGCATAAAATTAGAAATGTGGGCAGGACACTGGAGTACACTTTTAGGAACCTGAGCAAACAGAATTAGAGGCAATGACAAGGTTCCCAAGAACGGCATTCAGATCTAGAAGACTGGGACAGAAAAAGGTAGAAAAAAAAATTTAAAGATAGGGAACAGAGGAGCTGACAGGCATTTAGAACATATAGGGATTGTTTCAAGTAGACAAATATGGACAGAAGCCTATACACTCGGGCATATACAAAGACACACATGCCCACCCACACATTCACTAATACATCCATACCCATGCATGCACAAATAACCACATACTCTAGAGAGGGAAAACACACACACACACATACACACACACACACACACACACACACACACACACACAGAGCTTGGCTTTTTGGTCTGGGACATTCCAATTCCTCCATTCCTGCCCCACATAGCCCATCCTATACCTGTGTTATTTTTAGGTGTTGCTGTCTCTTCTAAGAGGGAAGGCAGCTTTGTTTATGGATGAGGCAACCTCTGTGCTTAGAGTCACAGGAAAGCAGCTTCCTATTTAATCTTCTGGCCAAGAAGATACTGGCTTGTGCTCTGTGGACACTGAAGGAGGAGCTTTCTCCAGCTGTCCACTTTGGGCCTTCTCTGGGAAGGGTGTCACACAAACCAGACCCAGGCCCAAGGCTGTGTCCCATCTAGCTAAGGCCAAGAAATTGTATACTCCAGGGCCCCAGATACAGGCAGCTTGTAGCCTGTTCTCCACTCTCAAGGGATGCATCCATAGGCCCAGTCTCTCATCCATTCCTGCCACCCCCTACTTCAGCAGAGACACAGAGCCACAAACTAGGCACTAACCAGTCTGGCCCAAGGTCAAATGGCTGCAGGTTCCCAGGCCTGCAATTGGCAGGACCTCTGCAGGGGAAGAGGCCTTTGGGGCATCCCTCTTGGTCTCTTCCTGCTTTTCTTCCTGTCCTTCCTCTAGGAATACAACATGGACTTCCCCGTCACTAGGTTTCTGTGTCCCTGGTTGCTTGAGATTTCCTCACTGTCAGTACATTTGTAAGAACTCTCCTTGTGTTGTGTCTGACCCTGGCTTTACCTCCATTTAGTCATTTAATTCTCCCAACAACCCCATGAGGTTGATTTGCCTCATTTTGCCAACAAGTCAAGCTACCTGCCCAAATTACTCAAGTATGGGATGTGGCAGAGTGGTGCTGTTCAAAACTAGCCCTGAATTCACACCTAAGCTTGGCTCTGAGAGCTTGACAACCAGACAGTTCAAGTGGTTGGGGTCAGAACAGATGTAGTAGAGATGGTCTCTCTCCCTGATCTCCATGGCTTTCCCTACAGTGGGCAGAACAAGGATGCCCAGCTTACGGGATGGGAAGAGATCAAGCAGTTCAGATAGCTCAGTGTGGGTCTTGAGGGAAAAGTGAGGGGGAGGAGCCAGCAGGCTCACAGGCTAAGTCTGCTGCATGGCTGGAGAAGGGTAAGGCATGGCTATCTTCTTTGCCTTCATGTTTCTGACCTGATCTCTCCTTTGTGACCCAAGTGGAGCTCTTCTTACAGAAACAGCCTGTGTTCGGATCCTGACTCTCACCAGAGGCAAGGTGACCCAGGAGCCCTCAGCTCAGTGGAAGGCAGCTTCCTGTGTCCTGACTGTCCTCATCCCCAGGGCCCCTACAGCTGCCACCATATGCTGCCAGGTCAGGCTCTGGGCCCCCAGCAGATGGCCAAGCAGCCCCCTCCCCCAGTCTCTAAAGCTCCATGAGCTCCATGGCACTTCCCTGGCCAGTTTCACTGGCTCTGAAAAGGGAACATGCATGGAGGGCCTGAGTCTACCACCCAGGAACCAGCTTCAAAGGCTAGGCAAGTGCGGTTGACCACCTTTGTGACAGGCACCTGACATCTTGGGGGCCAGTGTGTTGTGCCAGAAAAAGTTCTAGATTTGTGAGTGAAGGACCTCAGTGTGAATAGTCAGCATGTGCTTAGCCTGAGGCTCAGCCCTCAAGTCTATAACACAGAACTGAAGCCAGACTGGTGTTGTTTGCAAAAATTACAGAAAAAGAATGTGCCACATTCTGAGCATGGGTGAGTTTCTGATAAGCCAATGGTAGGGTCTGGTCTACTGCTCAGTCTGCTGGATGAGAAAAAGGGAAAAGAAGAGAGGAAATAAGAAGCAGGGTGCAGGGGTTTGCTAGTGGGCTCCTTTGTTCAGGAAGTGAGCCCCACATGTTGATAAAGGGCTGGGGTCTGTGTTCAAAGCAGAGCTCAGGCACCCTTAGGCCCTGGGCTCCTGGAGAGAGCTATATTCTGGGTGTGGCTGAGGAATGGAGGCTTTTGGCTCCCACTGCCTGGCAGAGTTGGTAGCTGAGCAGGGGAAGGCTAGGCTGGCCACAAAGTGGGCATCTTCCTGGGCATATGTGGCTGTGCTTGGGTGAGCCTGCATATGCTGCTTCTTGTAAGGAAAGGGTCTAACACACCTTGGTTTGTTTTTTGGAGGGAAGCTGAGTGAGAGGCTGTATACTTTAGACAGGAATGCATGGGCAGAGACCCTCTGCCAGGTCTGGGCCATAGGTGTCCCTAAGAAAAGGACTGTGCAAATCACCTTGAGTTTAGAAAACGCTGGCCCTTTCGCTGGTGACAAGATTCACAGTATGTATAGACAGGGTGAAGTCCTACTCTACAAAACCAGCTCACCTTTGTGTCCTCCTAGGTTTCCCAAAGTCAGCTGACACCTGTCCCGGCATGGGGGCTGCTGTGGCCTGTCGGAAATGAATGCCATATTTGGGCTTGATCTGTATGCTGGCTCTAGTCTCAGTAGCACTCGCTGCATCTGTGCCTCTGTTTTTTGGGGGTTTTTTTGTTTGTTTGTTTTTTTGGGTTTTTTTTTTTTTTTTTTTTTTTTGAGACAGAGTCTCGCCATATAGTTAAGATTGACCTGGAACTCACTATGTAGCCCAGGCTGATCTCGAACTCACAGTGATCCTCCTGCCTCAGCCTCCCGAGTGCTGGGATTACAGGCGTGCGCCACCACTCCCGGCTTTGCCTCTGTTTTTTATTGAACACTATTTTACAGGGGTGCAGGAGGGCACCAAATGATAGGAGTTATGATTAAAATCTAGAACCAGGTCTGGAAGTTAGAGGTTCATCTAGTTTAGCGGTTGCTACTCCTTGATCTTGAGTAACAGGACCCTCAGATCACCTGCTGCCTGTACCATCTCAGGGTTTTCCCAGTCCACGTCTTAGAGGCACCATGGACGAAGCTCCTAAGAGGTTAGGGGGCTCCTGTGCCTGAGGAGGACAAAATGTCTTACCTGTGGCTTCCACCATCCCTTCTAGAATAACCACCACTTCGAATTCCTCCTGGTGCAGCTGGGCCCGAGACATCTCCCAGAAAGGGCTCTTCTCATTGATCTCGTGGGAAATAATGAGCGGGGACACCAGGAAGAGACGGTCGTCCCCGGTGTCGAAGCCCACGTTAATGTCCGTCTGGTTCAGGGGTATGAACTCGCCCTCTTTGGTCTGCCGCGACTTGATGAGCTTGGCGCGGATGGAGGCCTCCACGATGTGCGAGTTGCGGAGGTCGCCCACCCGGAACATGAGGCACAGCTTCTCGTCCCGCATGGAGATGACTGCGTAGTTGGAGAACATGAGTGTCTCCGCCCTCTTCTTGGGCTGACTGATCTTGACAAACATGCAGCCCACCATGAAGGCGTTAACGATGGAGCCCAGGATGGCCTGCACCAGGAGGAGGACGATGCCCTCGGGACACTTCTCTGTGATGACCCTGAAGCCGTACCCGATGGTCGTTTCCGTTTCAATGGAGAACAGGAAAGCAGACACGAAACCGCTGAGGTTTTCCACACAAGGGATCCACTCTTGGTCGCCCACGTGGTCCAGATCGCCCCGGATGTAAGCAATGAGCCACCAAATGAAGCCAAAGAACAGCCAGGTGACAGTGTAGACCATGGTGAAGACGAGCAGGTTGAAGCGCCACTTGAGGTCCACCAGAGTGGTGAAGAGGTCGCTCAGGTAGCGGTAGGTCTCCTGCACGTTGCCATGGTGCACGTTGCACTTGCCGCTCTTCTCCATGTAGCGCTGGCGCGGCTTCTTGCCCTCGGCCAGCAGGCGTGTGTGGTCTGTGGCCAGGGGCATGTCATCGCGGGCCTGTTTGGGGATCTTCTTGGGGTCCCGGGGCGTGACTCCAATCTCCATGTCCTGGTTCATAGCGTTCCTAGAATCGCCAGCCATGGCTGGGATGCATTGGGTTAAGAGACACCATCATGAGTGGGGGACCACTGGGACTCACAAAGACGCGAGACTGAAGGCTCGGGAGGGCCTCCACTCTGGGAAGCAGTGGCCAGGACTGGAACGTTCACAAGGGTAGGGACCCTGTGCTCTTCTAGGACCCTTTTGTGTCCCTGATGCCTCCTACAGATTCCTGTTGAGTGAATAATTGAATAGTGCTTCTGGGCAAACTACATAGGAAATGGTAAAGGTATGGGAGCAATTTTAAAAATAGTCATTGTAACCATATATTATTTGCCTGCTACATTCTAGGTATGGTATTATAATCACCACAATGACCTGTGGAGTTCAAGACTGGAATCCTTGTTATAAAATGTGTGCCTATGTATTGCTTTGATTTCTAATCACGTCTCTCCTTCCATGGGAATGTAAGCTCCCCAAGGCTTTACTTTTCATTAACAGAGATTGACTCCAGGACCTTTGCACTGGCCTATCACCAGCAGACCTCCCCCCTTTAAGAAAAAATTTTTTGAGACAGAGTCCTGCTAACTTGCTCACATTGGCCTCAAACTTGTGACCCTCCTGCTCAGCCTCCCAGAGTACTGGGCTTGCTGCACCATGCCTTGGCCTCGCAAGGGCATAATTTTGTGCCTATTTTGTTCCCTGATACATTCCAAGCACTTAGAAAATAGCCTGGTGTATACTATGGACTCACAGTACTTTCTAAATAAATGATTGTATAAATAAGAAAGTAGAGGCCCATAGTGGTAATTGACACCTAGGCCACCAAATAAATAAAACTAATAGAGCTGATATTTAGATACTTGCTTTCCTGGGTCAAATCCTATGCTTTTCCTTTTATACCTGTCCATCTCCCATCATTTCATCTGGGACATTTTAGTAGTAGACACAAGGAAAGGTTGTGGATGTCTGATTCACCAAGTGATGGTTCTCACTGTCTGAGTGGGGAGTCTGTGGCTGCCCGAGCACTTATTAAAATGACAAATTGCTGGATAGATCCTCTCTTAAATTTTTTTGATCCAGTTATTCTCTAAGAAATTGAAATGAGTAGGATGTTTATGTCCACAGGCTTTTAAAAGAACCATATACAGGGGTTTTAGGACTTGCCACACTTCAAAGCGATACTCAGACACCTGTGATACCCTATCTACTACTCTTTTTATCTGCTATTCTACCCAACCCCATTTAAAATGCTTTAAGATTCTGATAAAGTTGAATAAGACTATAAAAATCTCAGTAATAAGAACAACTAAATTTCTGAGCATCGAGAGCCAGGAATTGCAGTAAGAAATTTACAATCATTTATGCCTACTATAAAGCTATTACACAGGTTGTTAACATGTGTCCATTTTCCAGACGTGTGGTAGAGTTTGGCACTAGGTTTACCTGGCTGGAGCCTTGGTCTTAAGCCAAGTTTCCTGATGCCCAAAGCTCACCATCCCAACTCCTTTCCCTCACTGCGGTCCTGCCTGGGTAGATCCCACCTCTCCCTGCCATGTAGTATGAGGACTGGATGTTAAGTTTCCCCAGAAATGCTTTGGACTGATCTTTCTGGGATTAATAATCCTTCTTTGGAGCACCCTAGCCAGCCCCATCTTGGGATAATTTGGGGGCAGGCCCTTGTGGGAACTCCCATGCCACCATTTTGGGGCTACTCCTGCTGTGTTTAGCTGGGCAGAACACCTGCAAAAAGTCCACCTGTTAGAACAACCTGGTGAATGTTCAATAACTCACTGAGCAGACCTTCGTTGCCAAACCAAGGCCATTTCACCCATCCTGGCAGGTCAGACGGCCCTGGCCGAATTTTTCCTTTGATGCCAGGGTGCTTGCAGCAATTTCAAGGTAACCTTTAAAGTATCATACTGGAGAATCATGTGAGGGCCGTAGTCTCAGACATCCATCAGCTGTTTCCCATTCTGCAGACACCTGCTCCCTGGCCCCATATGGCTATTACAAAGATAAATGAAACAAGGAGGGAAAGGCTCAGGTTTCTTTGCAGAATCCCAAGCATCATTTTGCTTTATTCCAGGGTAGGAGTTGTATTGCAAACCTGACCAGAGTTGCTCAGACATGGGAGCTACACTGCTAAGCCCGAAGCCCTGTGTGCTCCTGGGGACCTCAGCAGTTGGGATTCAAACCCGGCTGTGGTAGGGCTGTCTGGGCTCCCAGCCATCAGTGCTGGGTGGTGCGAGCATAGTGTGTGAGTCATGGGCCAGGGCACAGGGGAAAGAGTGTTCTTCTGATTTTTAGCTCTTGGGAGAGATCAGCTTTCTGCTGATTTTCTGCACTGTTTCCTTTTGTATTTTTAAACACACTTTCTTATGTTCTTGTAGGAGAAGCCCTTGTACTGTACTAGAAACAGAAAGATGTTTTCTAGGACACCTTGACCCATGTCTGAAAACTTTTTGTGTCTGATAGATAGGAAAGGGCCATTTACTTCGATCTGAGGTTCTCCCTGTGCACTGGGACCATGCATGGAGTGAGTCCTCCCTCAGCCCAGGCCAACATTCAAGTTCTTGCTCAGGGTCCAACACACTTGTTCTGTGGTCCACAGAAAACTAACCTTAACTTTCCTGGCCTCCATTTCTTTTCCTATAAATCTCGGATAATATTCTTTGCTCCTTCCTTGACCCATGGAAAAAATATATTTTCAGATGCATAAATCTAAGCTGAAGTGTGCAAAGTCATGGGCCAAATAATGACATGTTAATTAATACATTATAATGGTGAGCCAATAAATTATACCATCTAATTATACTGTAGCCATCTTAACTCCTGCTCCATGATGTTTGATGTTTGCAGAACAACAAAATCAATTAATGCTGCATTTTTCAAAACATATCCTTGTCATTTATATATTAAAGTATATATTTATTAGCTTAATTATTTATAAACTCTCCTTAAATTTAAACAATGTGATGCTCAAAGTAGCCCTATTTTGAAGATCAAGAAAGAGAGGCAAAGAGCATTTAAATCAAGCACCTAACAGTCAAGTGCAACTTGCAGGACATGTACTGAGCTAAGTGGTACAGAGACTTTACTGTCCAAATTTCTTTGAAGGATTAGCAACAGGCCCACCCTAAGATCCATGTCTTCCAGCGCCCATCAAGCCAACCAGGTTTTCAAGGACAATGGAAATGGCCTTCTTTAATCAGATTTTTCAGATCCATTCTATTAATTACTCATTCACTCGGCAAGCATTAACTGAGAGCCACTACAGTCTAGCCCTTGTGATGGGAGCTGGCCAGAAAGCATTGCAGACTATATACGCAGACCCAGCCCTCCTGGTGTTTTATGCTCTAGCAGGGCAGCTTTGAACTTAGGGTTTGTACAGAAGTGTGTGTGATGGAGTGGCAGGAGACAGGCATGGGCCTGGCTGGGATAAACTGAGTCATCTAGCTGTTCCCTGCAGGATACCAGACAAGACTGTGATTTGAGCGAATTCTGTGATACCCTGTCAGCCTGTTATTCTTCATCTTCTGGCCATCTATGCCTACGGATGGGAAGCCTTGCAGAAATAAGATGAAAGCTCTCAGGAAAGCAGTGCTTTGAGTCCAGCAAAGAGGCTTAGTCCCTTTGATAATAAACTTGAGTGGAGAGAGACTCAAAAGAGACCAAAGGAAGCTGTATTTTAGATGATGAGAGTGAATCTGATATCCACTTAAATGGACCACTGTAAGAGGAATGCAGAGCCATCCCGCACAGGGGAGAAGAAAGCCAGGAGTCCAGCACAGCAGTTTGACAGAGCCACCCTTGGGGCTCGGTGGGCCTTGCTGTAGAGAGCACTAAGCCGGGTTCTTGTCTCAGACTCAGTTTCCTCATCTGTGAAAATAGGAGTCCCAAACATCTGCCTCAATTTCCTCTGTCCTGTCTTATGTATGCTGGGTCAACATCTGCATCTCTCAGATATGGGCCCTGGGATGAAGTTGGAGGGAGAGTCGAGGAGAAGAACACAATTGTATCTCATTTTGAGATATGGTCTGCAAATCTCTATGACTGTATGGTGGTTGAAATATGAAAATGCTCCAAACTGGTTGGTGGGTAGGCTGTCCCACTGCCCTCAAGGACAAGGTGAAAGTCAGCAGAAACATTAAAGGTGGTATAGAGTGCATAGAGAGAGGGCACAGGTAAGCAGGCAGAAATGTCCCCAGATACACATGCCTTGTAAAATCTGGGGACTTGAGAATGGGACCATTACTTGCATGACCGAGTTCTGTTATGTGGCACAATTGACACTCAGAAAGAAAGGAAATGTGGGGTAAACCTGGCTTGTTACAGAGGCTCTTCCAAGGAACTAGATCTTCCTGAAGCAGGTGATTCAATCACTAGAGAAATTAGGTGACAGGCAGATTTTTCTTTTGCTGGTTTTAAAGATGGAAGGGATCAATGGCAAGGAATGTGGCAGCCTCTTGGCACTGAGACAGCTTTCAGCTGACAGCCAGTGGTAGGGACCTCAGTCCCACAGATGAAAAGAACCGAATTCTGACAGCCGCAGGAACTGAGAAGGGGACTCAGTTCCAGATGAGTGCACAGATACTATAGACACCTTGACCATGGTCTTGTGAGAACAGAGCAGAGCATGCAGTCATGTAATGCTGAGACTTCTGACCTGTATCAGTGTGGGCTAATCAAATAGGTGTTTTAAGCCATTAAGCTCTGACAGAAATAGAAAACCCAGCATAGAAAGGGATGGGTGACAAATGGCCACGAAAGCTGACTCTGACCTCATACTCACCAGATTGCCATTCTACCCTGAGCTGAGGCACTTTGGAAAAATTTACTTCTCTGAACCTCAGTTTTTTTTAATCTGCAAAATGGAGATAATAATAGTACTGATCAAGGAAAGTTGCAAAGAAGGGGAAATGAAAAGCATGTGATCAGGCAGCCCTCTGTAAACATTTGGTTAAAAATCATGTTTTTACTGAATTCGTGCACACATTTTTCTTGTCATCATTCCCTAACCAATAACTGTCTATGAATTTTC